GCATCTGCCTAATGTTGATCTCGACATTGTTCTTGAAGTATTCCGAGTACGTGAGCAAGCTGGTCTTTTCACGACACTTCCGCGCCACGTGCGCAGGGCAGTCCAGCACTGTGATGCCTGACCAAACATTTGGAGAACGCGTTTGCAATGTACTTTGCGTGATCCAGACTGCCGAACTTAACATCCAGGTCTGCCCCGAAAAACAGCTCTGCGTACTTGACAACGGTTTGATATAGCTGCCCATAGGCGTACTGGCGCTAAGCACACCCACGGAACGAAATTCTTACTGTAGACGTGTTTGTCAGTGTACCGATTGCGGTACGTCCCGAATGCAACCAAAACGAGTAGTTAGAATTCACGTCAAACAATATACCACGAAGTTTTCTATCGTACCGTAGTGTAGCTTGTATGTGCCATCGGCAGCGGCGAACACTCCGTCACTTTGCTGTCCCTGTATAAGTCGTTACGGAAAACGCGACGCGTTGTCATGATCACTCCAAAAGACTTGTGGTCTTTGCCCTCTTCCACGTAGCGGTGCTCAAAGCAGTTCAGTACTAACAGCTCATTTTGAAAACCAAGAGTCTCCGTGGCGAATATCTTTTCGTCAATCGTACGGTCAAATGTTTGCCCATTGAAAAACCGTGTCTTGTCCTGGCACATTCGCAAAGATGCCCAATGATACAGGTCAGCAAATGTATCAATGCTTGTAGCTTTGGTCGCCTGTCTCGTTAGATACCCTCTGCGATTCTTGATCATTGCTCGGGTTGGTAAGTGGCACAAGAGGTGCTGTTGGCCTTTGTAATTCATTAACATACCGTTCAAGATGGCTTGAGGGCCTTCTTTGCCCATCGCAGCGGTGTCCACTTCAAATGCAAATGCAGAGTGGATGCCTGTCTTTTTGCGACCTGTGGGTTCTCCAGAATGCGATCCTTTTGCCTCCAACACAAAAGGTAAGGTCTTCAACTCTGTTGTCCTCACAGCTCGTATGCGAAAGATTCGTCCACAATTGTCATGTTCAGCACACTTGTACGTCACAGACCGAACCGAAGACACTTGTTCTAAATGAGGCAAATTCCACTCTGTTATTCCTTTAAGTCCTATCGGTCCAATACCTTCTGCCCATCCTATGATGTCCTTTCTATCCCCTCTGTAGCCTGGTCGCGTGG